GCTGCTGCAGCTCATGAGCAAGGAAGTAGCGAAGAGTAATGTGCTTCGTTCTGTGCTCCAGTCTGTGCTCCCGACACAAGGCCAGCATGGTCTTGTTGTCTACGTACAGAACTGGAGGAGAACGAGGCGGCTCTCCTAGGTCAGTCAGCAGGTAGGTGAGCCAGCGTAGCTCCTGTGCAGCCATGGCCCCCACGTAGATCTCAGTCTCACAGCTAGAGCCGAGAATAGAAGACGAGCGGGTAGACCGCCACGAAACAGAGCCGGAGCCAAGGCTGAAGGTGTAACCCTGTGACGACCGCTGTGTAGCCTGGTCGTCAGCCCAAGAAGCGTCTGCGTGATCTGTGAGGACCACTCGACGTCGCCCTGCAAGCACTAGCCCCATGCCCGACGTACTGCACAAGTAGCGCAACACCCTCTTCGCTGCAGCCATGTGCTCTGGTCGGTGTCTCCCAGGAGCAACATAGCGTGCGAGGATGCTAAGAGGGTATGCAAGGTCAAGTCATGTGCAGGTCATCAGGTACATGAGGCAGCCAACAAGCTCTGGGTACGGGCCACTCGGCTCTACAGACTCATCCAAAGGCAGAGCTGAGAGCGAGTGGCGAGTAGATAGAGGAGTGGCCTGAGGCGAGGAGTAAGTGAAGTCGAAGCGCTGAAGGACCTGCTGCACCATGTGTGACTGAGTCAGAGTAATGGTGCGCTGTGCTCTGTCCCGGGTGATCTGCAAGCCAAGGTAGCTGCGCAGTTCACCCACGTCTGTGCACGTGTGTCTCTTCTGCAGCTTGTACTTCACGTGGGTGAGTCCAGCAGTGTCAGCAGTGGCAAAGACCAAGTCGTCGACGTACACGAGGATATAGAACGGCGACAAAGAGGTGTCGGTGCGCAGAAACAGCGATGGGTCGGCAGTAGAAGGAGCAAACCCAAGAGCCGCAAGCGTAGTCCTCAGTGTGTCGTGCCACTCACGGGGCGCCTGGCGGAGACCGTAGACTGGCCGCCGGAGGCTCCACTGGGTACCAGGGGGAAACGACCCAGTGAAGCCAGGTGGGCGGCGCGACCAGATCTCCTCGTGCAGACTGCCCTGCAGGAAAGCTGTGCTGAAGTCAAGAGAGTGAAGCTCGTAGTCGCGCTAAGCGGCTATGTGCAGCAGCACCCGAAGAGTGGTCATCTTCGGGGTGGGAGAGAAGTTCTGAAAGTAGTCAACTCCCTGCCGCTGACTGAAGCCTCGAGCCACGTAACGCGCCTTGAAGACAGGCGGAGAACCCGGCGGCCGCTTCACCCTGAAAATCCACATGCCACTGATGATGTTCGCCCAAGGTGGGGGAACCTCGTCGACGTAGGTGCCTGTGGACTTCCAAGAAGCCATCTCTGCATCCATAGCTGACTGCCACCGAGAGGAGTAGGGACCCTCGATCGCCTCAGCGTACGATCGAGGAGTCGGGATGTCTGGTGCATCCGGGTCTCCCTCAGGGGCAATCAGCGTGGACACGAGATGAGGCAAAGCAGCAGCAAAGCACTGGAACTCCTCCTGCCTGTCCTCAAGGACGTCCATGCTAAGAGCACACTCACCCTCGACGGCCGGAGGACAAACAGACTCAGACTCACCAACAAGGCTAGCGGCGTAGTCTAGACGTCAGCGAGCAGCGAAGTCAACAAGCTTAGTAACCAAGGCAGACGCAGTAGTGGACTCAAAGGAAGGGTCAGTGACAACAGTGGCCAGGAGACGTGTGACAGTAGGACTGGCAGCACGAAGAGAGTAAGACTCAGGGTCAGCAAGGACAGGAAGAGAGGACTCTGGAGGAGACGGCAATGGGACACGCAGAGGAGCAGTGGACGGACGCAGTGCCATCTGGTGGGTGCGTGGGACCGCAGGAAGACGCGGACGCGGAGCACGAGGACTAGTGCGAGTAGCACGAACAGGTGACGCAGGACGAGACGCAGGCTCACGACGCTCAGCAAGACCTCCAGTAGGACCAGTGTAGGGAGAAGGAGCAGGCAGGGGGGAGGCGGGCTGTAATTGTGACTGTGACTGGATAGGCTGTGGGCACTCTAAGGGAGGAGCAGGACCAGCAGAGGGCGGAAGACCAAGAACCTGCTCAAGTAGCGTAACGAAGTACGGCCGCTGCCGCGCAGTGCCTCCAGAACCAGCAAGGACAGCACTAGTACCCCCAGCGGCAGCACCAGTATCAGCAGCACCGCCAGCGCCAACAGCGTCAACTCCAACACCCTTAGACGCACCAGCGCCAGCAGAACCACCAGCGCCAGCAGAACCAGCAGCGCCGACACCCCCAGCAGCTCCAGCTCCAGTAACTCCAGCAGCTCCAGCAGCACCAACTCCAGTAGGACCGGCAGCTCCAGTACCGCCAGCAGCTCAAGCAGTACCTTCTGCAGCACCCCCAGCCCCAGCAGCTCCAGTACCGCCAGTACGAGCACCTCCGGGACCAGCAGCAACAGTAGTACCTCCAACTCTAGCAGCACGGCTCTAGCGTCGAGCAAACCACTCGCGTAGTTCCTGCAGAGAGAGCGGCTCCCGCCTCGACGAAGCACCGCGAGAGGTCACACGAGCAGACCCAGCACCCCCAGGCTCTGCACCCCCAGGCTCAGAACCCCCAGGCTCAGCACCCCCAGACTCAACACCCCCAGGCTGAGCAACCCCAGACTCAGCACCCCCAGGCTCCGCACCCTTGGACTCAGCACCCCCAGGCTCCGCACCCCAAGACCCGGCACCCGCAGGCACAGCACCTCGAGCAGCACCAGAGTCAACAACTACCTCGACATGCTCGACTGCGTCTACCTGGGACACACCTGACGGGGCAGGACCCTGAGGGGGGAGGGGGTCTACTGGGGGAGGACCTGGCGCAAGGAAGAACGGCGGCGGAGGGAGGGGCGCAGTGCGGTAGGGGAAGAGACGGTAGTAAGGCACCGACTCGTCAAAGGTGACGTCCTGGGAGGACAGAACGCGGCGCGAGGTGGGGTGGTAAAACTGCCACCCAGGCGCGTCAGGGGGGAAGCCAAGGAAGATGCAGGGAACAGCACGGGGGGACAGCTTGTCCGGAGACAAGTCGCGGACAAACGCCCGAGATCCCTAGACCCAAAACGCAGACGCATCGCCATCCTTCCCCGTCCACCGCAAGGTGGGGGAGGTCTCAGGCAAGGAGACCCAGGGCTGAAGGTTGAGCTGATGCGCGGCGTACTGAACCGCAAACGGCCACAGAAAATGGGGGGCAGCCGCATGGATCATGGACGTAAGAGCGACGTCTATGACCATGCCAATGCGGCGCTCAGCAATCCCTTTTTGCTGTGGAGAGGCCGGAAGCGTGAAGGTCTGACGGATGCCCTATGCACGACAGAAGGCTCCCAGACGGGCAGAGGAAAACTCCCCGCCTCTGTCAGAATGCAGACACAGAACAGGAAAATCCGAGCCGAAACTCTCTCTGAGCTGGAGACGATTTTCGCGGATCCAGTCGATCAACACCTCAGTGACGTCACCCTTGCTGCGCAAGGGGAAGACTGTGGTGTAACGCGAGTAGTCGTCAACCACCAACAGGAAGTAACGCTCGTGCCCCTGTCCACGGACGCGGGCGGGGCCCCACACGTCCATGTGAAGAGTCAGCAGAGGAGCCTCTGTCGGAGGAAACTCGGAGGAGTGAGGGGCGGCGCGCTGTCGCCCCTTGACGCAGGGGACGCAGGTAGGGGCAGGCCCCGGAGGTAGGGGAGGGAGAAACCGGGGAAGACCAGAGACAAGGACATGGGAGGCCATGTCTCGAAGACGAGGCAGGGAGGGGTGACCAAGGCAGTGGTGTTAAAGGAGAGTCTGGTGGGACAGGAGACGACACGAGCAGGGAGCAGACTCAGGACCAGACCTGGAGGCGGCAGCAAACACCTGACTCAACGCAGCTACCTAACCAGACTCAGCAGTCGGAGGAGACTCAATAGTAAGTGTGTACAGGCTCGACCTCGGCCGACGGGTGAACGTGGCCAAGTGTCGGCCTGTACGAGCACACGTGCAGTGGGTCACCCGCTGACTCGCAGGAGTGAACTGGTCAACCCCTCTATCCTGTAGATCAGCTCCACTCACCAAGTTCGTAGAGAACGAGGGGAGGTAAAGACCTGACAGGGTGCCAGAGGGGGCTGCCGGGCACGGTAAGACAGTGGAGAAGCTAGCAAGGACAGGTCCCCCAGAGGGGTCCGCCAGGGAGACCGCAACTGGCCGACTAAGCTGCGTTAGCGTGGTGCGGTCTCGAAAGAAGGAGCGGGAAGCACCCGAGTCAAGGGTGAAGGTGTGTAAGGCCTGAGCCGATGTGGTTCCTGAGAGAGCAGACTCACCAGCACCTGGGGCAGCAGACGCACTAGCCCCTAGAGCAGCAGCCTCACCAGCACCTAGAGCAGCAGACTGGATACCAGGGTCAGGCGGCACACACAGGTGACAGACTCCCTCGGCACTAGTAGACAATGCATACATTGTAGTGAGAATAGCATCATAGTCAAGAGCAAAGATATCTACCCTCTGCCTAAGCAGCTCTACCCAGTCGGGGAGCTTAGCGTCATCGCCAAACTCTGTACGCCAAGTGTCACTCAGACGCGCGAAGCAGCGGGACTTTGTGTGACTACGCGTCCCGCAATTCTGACCAGTTCGGACACCCGTGCGAATAACGTATGGGTAGCGAGCAGTACTCAGCGACCCTCCACTCTGAGCGTACCACTCACGAAGCTTCTGGGGTGAAAGAGTCTCGCGCGGACAACGCTGCTGCTGCACCGGGCCACTACAAGACACTCCCGAACTACCCACTCCAGGACGACTCCCACTACTGCCACCCCGACAACCCCAACTGTTGTACCACTCACGAAGCTGTTGGGGGGTGAGGGACTCACGCGGGCGACGCTAGAGCTGCATCCTGCCACTACAAGCAGTGGCGGAACTACTCACTTCAGGACGACTCCCACTACGGCCACCCCGACAACCCCAACTAGCGTACCACTCACGAAGCTGTTGGGGGGTGAGGGACTCACGCGGGCGACCCTGGAGCTGCATCTGGCCACGCCAGGAGCACCAGTAGTAGTAGAAAGAGCAGCAGTAGTAAGAGCAGCAGTAACAGCAGTATAGGCAGGGCAGTGCTCACCAGTTGCAAGAAGGGCAGGTGTACGACGGCGGCAACGGCGATGCCGCTACCACTATAGAGCGAGAGCTCCACGGCAGCTGCAGGGGTGGCTGCTCCAGGGGCGGCTGCTGTAGTGGCGGCTGCTCCAGGGGCGGATGCTGCAGTGGCGGCTGCTCCAGGGGCGGATGCTGTAGTGGCGGCTGCTCCAGGGGCGGCTGCTGCAGTGGCGGCTGCTCCAGGGGCGGCTGCTGCAGTGGCGGCTGCTCCAGGGGCGGCTGCTGCAGTGGCGGCTGCTCCAGGGGCGGCTGCTGCAGTGGCGGCTGCTCCAGGGGCGGTTGCTGCAGTGGCGGCTGCTCCAGGGGCGGCTGCTGTAGTGGCGGCTGCTCCAGGGGCGGCTGCTGCAGTGGCGGCTGCTCCAGGGGCGGCTGCTGCAGTGGCGGCTGCTGCAGTGGCGGCTGCTCCAGGGGCGGCTGCTGCAGTGGCGGCTGCTCCAGGGGCGGCTGCTGCAGTGGCGGCTGCTCCAGGGGCGGCTGCTGCAGTGGCGGCTGCTCCAGGGGCGGCTGCTGCAGTGGCGGCTGCTCCAGGGGCGGCTGCTGCAGTGGCGGCTGCTCTAGGGGCGGCTGCTGCAGTGGCGGCTGCTCCAAGGGCGGCTGCTCCAGTGGCGGCTGCTCCAGGGGCGGCTGCTGCAGTGGCGGCTGCTCCAGGGGCGGCTGCTGCAGTGGCGGCTGCTCCAGGGGCGGCTGCTATAGTGGCGGGTGCTCCAGGGGCGGCTGCTGCAGTGGCGGCTGCTCCAGGGGCGGCTGCTGCAGTGGCGGGTGCTCGAGGGGCGGCTGCTGCAGTGGCGGGTGCTCCAGGGGCGGCTCCTGCAGTGGCGGCTGTTCCAGGGGCGGCTGCTGCAGTGGCGGCTGCTCCAGGGAAGGCTGCTGAAGTGGCGGCTGCTCCAGGGGCGGGTGCTGCAGTGGCGGCTGCTCCACGGGCGGCTGCTGCAGTGGCGGCTGCTCCAGGGGCGGCTGCTGCAGTGGCGGCTGCTCCAGGGGCGGCTGCTGCAGTGGCGGCTGCTCTAGGGGCGGCTGCTGCAGTGGCGGCTGCTCCAGGGGCGGCTGCTGCAGTGGCGGCTGCTCCAGGGGCGGCTGCTGCAGTGGCGGCTGCTCCAGGGGCGGCTGCTGCAGTGGCGGCTGCTCTAGGGGCGGCTGCTGCAGTGGCGGCTGCTCTAGGGGCGGCTGCTGCAGTGGCGGCTGCTCCAGGGGCGGCTGCTGCAGTGGCGGCTGCTCCAGGGGCGGCTGCTGCAGTGGCGGCTGCTCCACGGGCGGCTTCTACAGTGGCGGCTGCTCCACGGGCGCCTGCTGCTGCTGGGCGGCTCCGCGGCTCGGGTGCCTGCTAGGGGCGGCGACGGGGCCGGGAAGGGGCGGCGACGGGGCCGGGAAGGGGCGGCGACGGGGCCGCTAGGGGCGGCGACGGGGCCGCGTAGGGAGGGGAGCGGCGTCGGGGCCGCTAGGGGCGGCGACGTGGCCGCGTAGGGGCGCCTACAAGGCCGCGTAGGGGCGGCGACGGGGCCGCGTAGGGAGGGGAGCGGCGACGGGACCGCTAGGAGCGCCGACGGGACCGCTAGGAGCGGCGACGGGGCCGCGTAGGGGCGGCGACGAGGCCGCGTAGGGGCGGCAACGGGGCCGCGTAGGGAGGTCAGCAGCGACGGGGCCGCTAGGGGCGGCGACGGGGCCGCGTAGGGGCGGCGACGGGGCAGCATAGGGGCGGCGACGGGGCCGCGTAGGGAGGTTAGCGGCAACGGGGCCGCTAGGGGCGGCGACGGGGCCGCGTAGGGGCGGCTACGGGGCCGTGTAGGGAGGTTAGCGGCGACGGGGCCGCTAGGGGCGGCGACGGGGCCGCGTAGGGGCGGCTACGGGGCCGCGTAGGGAGGGGAGCGGCTATGGGGCCGCTAGGGTCGGCGACGGGGCCGTGTAGGGTCGGCTACGGGGCCGCTAGGGGCAGCTACGGGGCTGCGTAGGGGCGGCAACGGGGTCGCGTAGGTAGGGAGGCGGCAACGGGGCCGCTAGGGGCAGCGACAGGGCCGCTAGGGGCGGCGACGGGGCCGCGTAGGGGCGGTGACGGGGCCGCTAGGGGCCGCGAGGGGCCTGGAAGGGCGGCTACTGGGCCGCTAGGGGCGGCGACGGGGCCGCCGAGGGTGGCACGAGGGGCCGTGAGAGGGGCCTCTAAGAGAGGGCGACAGAAGGGCAGCCCACAAGGCGCGCCTCGGGCAGGAGCGACTGTCGCTCCGGTCAGAAAAAAGTTTCAGTGGTGGGCCCAAGGAAGCGTTCCCACTAGGGAACCTGCTCTATACCATGTGAAGAAATGAGGAATGAATGAACAAGCAAGCAGGTGGGTACAAGTAGGAAAACCTAGAAGTGTTGTACCCCATAGTGTCTTCCCCACTATAGCCTACACAGACTATGGCATAAGAGTTTGACAGTTGAGTCCTGTATGGAGTAGCATAGCTACTTATATAAATCATTAAATAAAGGATTGACTCACTCTTATGGGTTGTTGAAGCAGAGTGATGCGAATGCAACATGGAAGGTGCCGTCAGCCCCCGGATATAAGCGCGGGCCTCGGATAAGCGCCGTGCGCTTATAAAATGTGAAAAAAAAGAGGAATGAAGAGAGGGGTTGCACTAGCAGCAGTTGGCATACATATAGGAAACCCTAATTGGGTTATACTCGCTATAGAGTACCCCACTACAGGCTAGACAATTATAACATTCTGACACACCCCCATAGCCAAAGTCTGGTGTAATCAGCACAATGAGCAAGCAGGCATAGAGCAGGAGTTCACAATAGCGAGCAAAGCTAGAGTTAATCACAGCGGGCAAGTGAGGAGGAGGAGGAACTGTGGAGGGAGAGAAGATGGGAGGCAACGACTGAAGCTGCAGAGGCACGGGCACAGGAGCGGCTGACTCAGTGGCTACCGAAGCAAGGGCGACGGACTACTGGAGTAACTGGCTCCGCGGCTATACACGAGCGGCAGGAGCAACGGACCCACTGGCGACTGGTGCAACAGGCTCACTGGCTACCAAAGCAAGGGCGACGGACTACAGGCGCTGCAGGCGACACGACAGCTACCTTCACACAACCTCCTCCAGCTTTCCCACACCCCTCGACACACACCCCGTGCTCAAACCCTAGTTCCACTCCCACAGCACCCCCCTTTCACACACCCCCTGCTGCACCCTAGGTTCACTCACACCCCACCCCCTAGCACCACTCCGTCGACTCCCACACACCCACCCCCCTCAGCGGCAGCTGCAGCAGTGAGAGACAGAGGAGGAGGAGGAGCAGGGGAGACCACACACCTGCCACCCCCTACTCGCCACCCCCAAACCCTAACACTGGGCAGGGCCGGGCGACGGGTAGGGAGGTTACAGGGGGGGGGGGGGGGGGGGGGGGGGGGGACGCGCGGCCTCCCAGGGCGCCAAAAAAGGCGGCAGAAGGGGCGACGCTCGCCCCCGCCCCCCAGGGAGCCGCGACGGGCGACGAGAAAAGAGAGGGGGGGGCGGGGCACGAGCCCCCAGTGCGCCGCGACAGGCGACGGAGCATGGCCGGGGCGGGGCCGGGGCAGGGTCGAGGCAGGGCTGACAGGGGCGGCGACGGGGCCGATAGGGGCGGCGACGGGGCCGCGAAGGGGCCGCGAGGGGCCGGGAAGGGCGGCGATGGGCCGCTAGGGGCGGCGACGGGGCTGCGAAGGGGCCGCAAGGGGCCTGAAAGGTCGGCGACGGAGCCGTTAGGGGCGGCGACGGGGCCGCGAAGGGGCTGCGAGGGGCCTGGAAGGGGGCCAACGGGGCCGCGAAGGGGCCGCGAAGGGGCCGCGAGGGGCCGAGAAGGGCGGCGACGGGGCCGCGAGGGGTGGCGACGGGGCCGCTAAGGGTCGCGCGAGGGGCCGTGAGAGGGGCCTCTAGGAGTGCTCGACAAGAGGGCGGCCGACGGGAAGAAAAATTCCGTCGCACGCCACAGGGCGTGCAGCACACAGAGTAGCAGCGGAAGCAGTTAGGTGGGCCCACAGGCCAGGAGCGTAGATGCTCTGATAGCATGTGAAGAAATGAGGAATGAAGAAGAGGGGTTGCACTAGCAGCAGTTGGCATACATATAGGAAACCCTAATTGGGTTGTACTCGCTATAGAGTACCCCACAGCAAGCTAGACAATTATAACATTCTGACATAAAAGGCATATGGCGCTTATATCCAGTCCTCGATTAAGCGCACCCCCTTAAAAAACATGATTTATTATAAGCGTATGTTATTTTTATTTACAAACATGTCGAATCACAGAAACGAATGAAAAATGTTATTATTTGTTACAGGCTGCATTGAGGTGCTCCTTAGTGAGTACAACTCAGTTAGGGTTACATATTTGTACTGCCTTGCTTTCCTAGTCATACTATTCCGTTGCTAGCTACTCTTGAGATGGTATCACGAGTAGGTTCGTTGTTGACCGTTCCTAGCCTAGTGCGCACCCATGCCTCCGCGCCTCTTCGCCCTTCCCCTTGTGCACCCTCCGCGCCTAGCTCGCGCCCTTTGTGCCTCCGCGCCTAATCCACGCCACTGCACCCTCCGCACCTCCGCACCCTCCGCGCCTAGCCCGTGCCCTCCCCTTACGTGCACACTCTACCCAGCCCGCCGCGCGTCCCTAGGCCAGCCCATCGCACGTGCCCTAGGCCTGCCCATCGCATGTCCTAGGCCAGCCCGTCGCGCGTGCCCTAGACCAGCCCGTCGCGCCCCCTAGGCCATCCCGCCGCGCGCGCCCTAGGCCTACCCGTCGCACGTCCTAGGCCAGCCCGTCGCGCGCACCCTAGGCTAGCCCGTCGCGCACACCCTAGGCCAGCCCGTCGCGCGCGCCCTAGGCCGGCCCGTCACGCGCCCCTAGGCCAGCCTGTCGTGCGCGCCCGTTGCCAGCCCTTCCCACGCCCTAGCCCGCGCCTTCGTTCAGGCCGCACCCTGCTAGCGCCCTCGCCTTAGCCCGCGCCCTGCCTAAGCCACTTCTCCTCCACCCTTCTCCGGGCCCACACCATTCCTACTGCTCCTAGTTTCCGTTTCAGCGGCTGGAGGCTGCTCGCTCACTGTGGTAGAGCGCTCTAGGACCGGTTAGCTCCCCACTTCATGCTCCTAGCCTAGCTCGCTCCGTACTCCGACTGTCCCTTGCCTAGGTCCACCCGCGCTCTGAGCAGTTCTTGCTCCTCGCTCCTAGCTCCGCTTGCTCCGGGTTCCGGCTACTCCTAGCCTAGCCTCCACTATGGAGTGCTCCCGCCGCCTTCGTTTCGACGTGGAGGACCGTCCAATAGAGTTCGGCACCTGGCTCCGCTAGACTCAGCGCTATCTCACTAGTCAGCGCCAGGATGGCACCACCCTATACGCCCACGCGTCCGGCACCCTCCAGGCACCCCGACGTCCCGAGCCCCTGCCTACCGAGCCTGCCCCGACTTTGGAGGCGCAGGCGGACTACGATCGTCTCATCTTGGCGCGGGAGGTTTGGGACTCTCGTGACGATGCGACTCCTCTCGCGATGACAGAGCTCCTTCCACCGACTGAGGCTGCTCACTTCGACCTGGTAGAGACTGTGAAGGGGGTTTATGATTCGGGCAAGGGTGGCAAGAAAGGGGGGAAGGGGGGTGGCGGCGGTAGAGGAGGTGGCGGTGGTGGAGGCGTCACTGGGGGCGGCAGTGGGGGCGGCGGCGGTGGTGCACCAGGCGGAGAGAACCCTGAAGGAGGTGCTGGCCCACTTGCTGGAGGAGGTTCGACCAGCGGTGGTGTGGGGCCCCAGCAGCAGCAGCCACAGCAGAGACACCAGCAGCAGCAGGGACAGCAGAAGTGGCAGCTCCGCCATAGTGGGGACCTGGAGGACCTACGAGCACTGGCCGCAGCAGCAGCATGACCAGCTGGGCCCCGCGTTCCCCCCCCCCCCCCCCCCCCCCCGTCGGTGCAACACCGGCCCCTGTGACCACTGGTGCGTCACCGGACCGGGCAGTCCCTGTGTCTGCGGCTACAACGACCACTTTGTGGCGTGATGCTTCCGCCGCCTTGACGACCTCTACCGTGCACGCTGAGGTCCTGAGGTGACCACCCTACGCTGGGCTCGCCTGCTAGCCCATAAGATTCTTGTATTTGAACCGTTGTTGACTGTGTATGCTGATGGATCTGTGTGCTCGAGTGTTTGCTCAATGCTCGTCAGTATTCTTTGTATGCTGATGTTGACTATGATGCTGATGGATCTGTGTGCTCGAGTGTTTATAGTCTAGGATGCTTGCCTCCTGTTAGTGTAGACATGTGCCTCTCTAGTCTAGGTGGTTGTGTTTCTGCTCTAGGTGCTTGTGTAGCCTCCGGACCTGGCACACCTCCGGCTGAGGCGTCCTTGTCTTTCACACTGGACACTAGTGCGCCGTAGTGTTTCTTCCGCAACCACACGACCCTCACACCACTCCTTGCTCCGGTTCCGGTAGCTCTAGCTGATCCTTCTTCAGGACCAGCCGTTGCGCGTATGTGAGGATCTGGGATCGAGCTCAGAAAAGATGATTCAAATTGAATTGAATCGAATTGAATGTCCACCTGGGTACAACACGAGGCTATATATAGGCTCGACACAAGGCCCCGTAACCAGGTGTTACGCGAAGGTTTCGCGGGTCGCGAAGCGTCCCGAACAGATCCTTACCGAATTCGGTAGAAGGCAATTCGGTGGCAACCGAAAAGCCAGAATTCGGTGCA